CCCAGAGGGATCGGGTGGAGAGGGAGGTGGGAGGGGGGACTGGGATGGGGAATACATGTAAATCCATGGCTAATTCATTTCAATGTATGACAAAAACTACTGTAATGATGTAAAGTAATTAGCCTCCAACTAATAAAAATAAATGAAAAAATAAATAAATAAACTGAAGCCTTAACAATAAGTAAAGTGAACTCAACTAATGGTAGAGTAGGGCATAAAAACCAGAAAAAAACACCAGGTTGTATTCTGTCTAAATTCTGACTCTGCAGTCTCAAAATTAACATTGTATAATTTCACAAATTTGTTTTTATTTCACAATCCTTATATTTCCCTAATAATAAAAACCAGGATCATTGTAAAGCAACTATACTCCAATAAAAATTAATTTAAAAATAATAATTAACTCGGCTCACCAAATACACGATTATTTCACTAGTAACAGCAAAAATATTAATTTTGGGTAACATAGCAAGCATGTGTTATAAATAGGCATTTTCTGAGGGAGTTCTAAATTGAATAAAAATGTTAACTGTTGTCTCAAATGTAACACTTATATCAAGATTTTTCACATATAATTTATGCCAAACATAACTTATTTGTATAGTGTTTTATATGGCAAACACTAGAAATTTTCTTTCTTTAACTGTCCTTAAGACAGTTATTACAATGCCTGTCATACAGTGAGTACTTAATAAATGTTGGCTAATTTCTGGCCTAGAATTACAAGTTTCCAAACTTTTGTGTTTTCTAGTGATTTAGCGAACAATATCTTTAGCAAAGAAATGTCATAATTCAACCTCAGCTACCTCTTTGTCTTAAAAAGTGATAGCCTTACATCTATGACATAAAACTAGGTCTTTTAAATGTATCATTACTATATTTAAATTCTTTAGCTATAAAGATAATAATTTAATAGGTTATCTAAAAAAATACAGATACTGAGATGCATAATAATATACCCATTAAATAAAGCATTCCCATTTATATTGCCGGCATTTTTGAGTCTAAATCACCTTGGCATAGAGGCAGTTGTGGAAAAAGCTTTTGTATCCACTTGTAACTTGAGTTAGGTGCTTGTTCTCCATTGTACCACTTATTAGCTATCTCAGATTGGAATCATGTGTTTTCCTGCTTCTCATCCTGTACTGAGCCTTTAAAGGACAGGCACTGTGTTTTGGGGCTCACCTCAAGGTCTGGCGTGTTGCAGGTACTTAATATGAATTTGTTAAATGAGTCAAAGCAGACACTAAAGCTGCTCCTTTGCCAGGAGAAGAAGCAATCAGGATTAAAATGAAACCTGTATTTATTTAAGGTATATGTGTCAAAGTTTTAGGTTCCTTTAAAAGGCAAAGATTGACAGAAGAATGGGTGGCAGAACATGACACACTCAGACATGAAGACAGAGGTTAGGAGCAAAAAAGAAAAAAAGTCTTAGGTTCTTCAAATCCAATAAAAATAAAATCTATGATTTTTAAGATAGTCTTGACATGTCCCAGTACTCTCTTGACCTGAAGTTAAAATTATATTAACTGAAAGATATATTGATGTATAAAGTGTTCTATTAATGCATTAATCATATATTGACCTATCTTTCCTCCTTTTTAGGACTTGTGCCATTCTCATTGTGATGAGTCTGTCATACACAAGAAGATTATGACTATTATCAACTGCTTTATTAATTCCAGCATTCCCCCAGCTTTACAAATTGACATTCCAGTAGAGCAAGCCCAGAAGATTATTGAGCACAGGAAGGAGTTGGGACCGTATGTCTTCAGAGAGGCACAGGTAAGATATCGGGGCACGTAGTAAGCATACTTTAAAATAGATTAGCAGTCTAGATATTCTTTTAAAGTTTTTGCATTATTCATATTTGGCAAGGTTTGAATCCTCCTGATCCTGGGATTTATTCTATTTAATTAGAAAAATGTTGTGAATGCCATAGAGCATAGAAACTAGTAACTTGCTATTTTGCTGATGGTAATATGCAGCAAATACAATTTTTAAAATTCTATACTTTGACTTTGCATGGTTATTATTTTATTTCTAATTTATAAGTCCCCAACTAATTTCTCCTTTCTTTCCCACCATTCATATTTCCTTTTAAAATATCTGCTACCACAAAAAATGTGCAAAATATATGTCTCAAGATTTGTATATTTTTAAAAGTTGGAATATTCACATAGCTCATAAAGTAAGTGAGAGGAGATTTAAGTACCCAACCAACATAAAGTACACAGGCTCATGAAAAGAAAATCATGCCTGTTAACCTGCTCAAGTTACTTCTCTTTAAGATAAATAATAGAAAACAGTGATTTGCTGAACATAGTTTATTTGCATTTTGAAAAGCCTTTTAGTGATGTTGTTCCTGAAAAATGATTAAGAAAAATAAATTATAATAGGGGTAATAGGAAAGGCCCTGTCATGATTTAAGTGATATGAAACAGAGATTTAGGGTATGAATGCCCTTGAGCATGGAAAAAGACCATTATTCCTTAACATTTTCATTTGCAAGCCAGCTGTGTTCTAAGTCCTAAAAGGAACCGAAAGCAGACTCACCATCCAAAATATGCATTAAAATAGGCAAAAATATAGACAAATGATTGAGGATGTGCTAAGGAGAAATAGAAAACATGGTGTCAGAATTGTAGCATCTGTTAATGAAAAGATCACTTAGCCTAGCCTAGGTCTCCTGATAGCCAGTCCAAGGCTTGCCTATCCAGATCACAGCCTCGAGGCTGATGGTGAATGTCTGGAGCTGCTTATGTTGGTTGGTTCCGCTACACTGTCCAGGGAGTGCAGCCAGGGAACTTTACTGGAGTCCTTTAGTTTATGCCTTCTGTCTCATTTCCCAAAACAAAGTCCCAGATATATGTTAAATATAATCTTAGGGTATCAGGGAACAAGAGAATATTTAGGGGTCTCACCTTGCCAAATCTATTGTTTCTGTGTTCAGATAAGGACATACCTCCTACCCAGGTGTGCAAGCCAGAGATCTGGTTGCCATCTTCATGTCTTCTCTCTCCTTTGTTCCCTGACCTTTGGTGATCTTCAGTCACTAACATGTATCCATTTGTCTCCTTATCTGTTATTTTATCTACTTTTCTTCAATTCCATGCCACTACCTCAGTTCACGTCTGTAGTGTCTCACATTGATTACCAAAATTCCCTGCCCCTAGACTCTCTCAAAACCATTTAACTTACTGCAGATGGAGCCATCTTTTTAAAGATGTATATTTGATCATGTCACTTCTCTGTTCTCTATTTCGACTACTCCCATTGTCCTCAGACTGAAGACCATATTTCTTCCTCTATATCTCTCTAACCAGATGCCTTTCCACTCATTGCCATCTATCTCTGTCCTTACTGAAATACTAGGTTTTTTACTTTTATTTATTTTGACTGCACAGCATGTGGGATCTTCATTCCCTGACTAAGGATTGAACTTGCACCCCTGCATTGATTTTAATTTTTTTTCTTTTTTTTTTGCTTTATTTTGGCCACACAGCATTCAGGATCTTAGTTCCCCAGCCAGGGATCAAACTTATGTCCCCTACAGTGGAAGTATGGTGTCTTAATCACGGGACCACAGGGAAGTCCCACTGAAATATTTGTACTTTCATAGAGAGGCCTTACTTTCTTCCCTCCAGGGCTTTTTTACAGTCTCATTTTCTCTCCCTTAAGCTTCTGTGATATCCTGTGTTTGTCCCTGTCAGAACACTTATCACACAAAATTGAAAATAGCTGTTCTCATGCCTGACTTTCCCACTGGACTGTAAGGTGTTTGAGAATAGGGACTGTTTCTTATTTACTGCTGTGGCTTGCATGCCTAGCACAAAATAAACAGTATCATTTTTTAAAACATGAATGAATGATGTGAGAAGAGATCAATCATGAGAGAAATAGATCAAATTGGAAATAGAGCAACATTGTGTAAAAGGACTGAATAGTAAGTAAAAATCTGTTGCCTGTTTTAGTATTGCTTTCACTATAACATCTGCCTTTCCCCCACCTGCATTCCTAAGAGCTTGTAAGCTTTTGTCACTCAGCCATATTTTCACTGATGCTCTTCACTTATGCTGCAGTCATTGCCCATCCACTGGCAGTGTGGGAAGTAGCTCTATATTTATTAAAAAATTTCTAACAGTCTGGTTGTCTTTTAAGGTTCTGGAGGTACAGGGAAATTTTCATGAATAACATGAATGTTATTAATTGCAACTTTTAGAAATAGAGCGTTTTTTTTCCAGCCACCCTGTTCTACATACAGGATCTTAGTTTCCCGACTAGGGATCAAACCCACTGCCCCCTACAATGGAAGTGTGGACCCCTAACCACTGAACCTCCAAGGGATTCCCAGAAATAGAGAGATTTTATGTCTGCCTTGAAATATTGTACCCTAATAGGGTAACTTTTACTGGGAAGCCTCCTAGGTGACAAATATATTTGAGAGCTGGAAATGATTCAGATTTTGGAGAGAGAACTGAGAAGTAGGGTCAGTAGTTGGTAAATGGAGGTGGAAGAGGAGTGTTTAAGTTTAAGAAATTCATATAAAAACTACCATTATCCTTTAACATTGGAGCAGGGGATTACTTAAAAGCATGGCGTGCATGCTATGTTGCTTCAGTCATATCCGATTCTTTGTGACGCTATGGACCATAGCCTGTCATGGAATTCTCCAGGCAAGAATACTGGAATGGGTTGCCATCTCCTCATCTAGGGGATCTTCCAGACCCAGGGATCAAACCTGCAGCTGTTTGTCTCCTGCATTAGCAGGCGGGTTCTTTACCACTAATGCTACCTGGAAAGCCCCAAGATCCATGGTAGATAAATGGAAATGAAAACTTTTTTAAAGCCTACACTTCATCAAATAAAGTATCTTTAACTTTTGTGTTCACAATCCCAAGAGGCTATAGAATTCAGTGACAAGATGGTATGGTAAAGGGAGTAATTATAGAATTACTAATGATATTCATGTACAGGAAGGAGGAGTGATGAAATGTATCAGTTCAGGACTCTGTTGATCACTGTAGCATTTACTTTCTAAAAACTCCACTTTTCTGCTGAAAAGTTGGCTTAGAGCCTAATGGGATGGTTCATTTTTCTCCAGGGCATTAGGTAAAGGCCATTCCCAGCAACAAGATGTTGGGCTTGATCTGATGTGGCAAGTCCTACCTTCTTGGAAGTAACATATGCCTCTGGAACTAATGGAAAAACTTGGCATGAAAATTTGAGCAACAATTCTTATCTCTATAAATATCACAATTAATCACTTAATGTAGAGTATCCTCATAGAAAGCATTTATCCAGGATACCACTCTGCTTTTTAAATGTTACTTTTTTTGCTCTCACATAAAAGAGAGATTGTATCATTTAAAAGTTACTCAAGATTTATTCTTAGATCTGCAGCTTTGTTTAAGAGCTTTTCCAGAGGCAAAATGGTATTTCCTTTCTCTAAAAGAAGGGAAAGGAGGGGTGGAGAGGAGTCCCCCTTGATGAACTGAATATTTGGAATACTTGCATAAAACAGCCGAGTGTGTGGCGGATCAACTGGTATAAGTTTTAAAAGAAAACATGTATTTCTTATTTTAAAAGACCTAATGGATTCTTTATTAATACAATCAATTGGTTAGGGAAACATAAAGTATAAAGTGACTTTTAACTCTATTTAGTGTGTTTTTCTAAAAGAAAGACTTCTTGTTGGTAGTAAAAAAACATTGATGATAAGCATGTGCCGAGCTAAACTATACCAAGATGTTTGGAGACAATAAGTTGGAGGAAACATGCTGTATATTAAAGATAGAATAGTTAATCCATTATTATGGTGAATTAGAGTTTAAATTGGTACATTTGTATAAAATTGTAATCTGAGACATACTTTGTTTTTTTATACAGATGACAATTTTTGGAGTTCTGTTTAAATTTTGGCCTCAGTTCTGTGAGTTTAGGAAGAACTTAACTGATGAAAAAATTATGAGTGTTTTGGAGAGAAGACAAGAATATAGTAAGCAGAAAAAGAAAATGGTAATCATAGAAGATGAAAAATTTGTAAAGGTGAGACAAAAATCATTTGGGGTATAATCAGACTTTTAAAGGGCATGTGATATTGTTAGTGAGTCCAAGCTTCTCTGCTCGCCACAGGACAGGCCAGTGAATCTGAGGGGTTGAGGCAAGGAAGGGACATTAATCAGGGAGCCAGCTGATCCAGAAGATAGCAGACTAGTACCTCAAAATAACCATCTTATCGAGGTCTGGATGCCAGATTTTTATAGATCAGAGACTGGGGGGAGACAAAGAAGCAAAGTAAAAAAAGGCCATCAATCTTGCAAACATCTACAATGGCAAGCCTCAGGCAGAGGATGTGTTAATTTCTTCTTTCCTGCCATCTACAGATGGACAGGGTTCTTTTTTTTTTTTTTTTTTTTTTTTTTTTTTTTTTTTTTTTTTTTTTTTTTTTTTTTTTTTTTTTTTTTTTTTTTTTTTTTTTTTTTTTTTTTTTTTTTTTTTTTTTTTTTTTTTTTTTTTTTTTTTTTTTTTTTTTTTTTTTTTTTTTTTTTTTTTTTTTTTTTTTTTTTTTTTTTTTTTTTTTTTTTTTTTTTTTTTTTTTTTTTTTTTTTTTTTTTTTTTTTTTTTTTTTTTTTTTTTTTTTTTTTTTTTTTTTTTTTTTTTTTTTTTTTTTTTTTTTTTTTTTTTTTTTTTTTTTTTTTTTTTTTTTTTTTTTTTTTTTTTTTTTTTTTTTTTTTTTTTTTTTTTTTTTTTTTTTTTTTTTTTTTTTTTTTTTTTTTTTTTTTTTTTTTTTTTTTTTTTTTTTTTTTTTTTTTTTTTTTTTTTTTTTTTTTTTTTTTTTTTTTTTTTTTTTTTTTTTTTTTTTTTTTTTTTTTTTTTTTTTTTTTTTTTTTTTTTTTTTTTTTTTTTTTTTTTTTTTTTTTTTTTTTTTTTTTTTTTTTTTTTTTTTTTTTTTTTTTTTTTTTTTTTTTTTTTTTTTTTTTTTTTTTTTTTTTTTTTTTTTTTTTTTTTTTTTTTTTTTTTTTTTTTTTTTTTTTTTTTTTTTTTTTTTTTTTTTTTTTTTTTTTTTTTTTTTTTTTTTTTTTTTTTTTTTTTTTTTTTTTTTTTTTTTTTTTTTTTTTTTTTTTTTTTTTTTTTTTTTTTTTTTTTTTTTTTTTTTTTTTTTTTTTTTTTTTTTTTTTTTTTTTTTTTTTTTTTTTTTTTTTTTTTTTTTTTTTTTTTTTTTTTTTTTTTTTTTTTTTTTTTTTTTTTTTTTTTTTTTTTTTTTTTTTTTTTTTTTTTTTTTTTTTTTTTTTTTTTTTTTTTTTTTTTTTTTTTTTTTTTTTTTTTTTTTTTTTTTTTTTTTTTTTTTTTTTTTTTTTTTTTTTTTTTTTTTTTTTTTTTTTTTTTTTTTTTTTTTTTTTTTTTTTTTTTTTTTTTTTTTTTTTTTTTTTTTTTTTTTTTTTTTTTTTTTTTTTTTTTTTTTTTTTTTTTTTTTTTTTTTTTTTTTTTTTTTTTTTTTTTTTTTTTTTTTTTTTTTTTTTTTTTTTTTTTTTTNTGGAAAAAAGACAACCTCTTTAACAAGTGGTGCTGGGAAAACTGGTCAACCACCTGTAAAAGAATGAAACTAGAACACTTTCTAACACCATACACAGGGTTCTGAACCCAAAGCACTTTAACAGTCAGGCAGAGGGGCAGGATTCTCTGAGGCAGGCCATTCTGTATGATTATAATAACAAAAGCAATGAAAAGCAAGTCAAAGAAATGGTTCCAGTGTGGACTCAGAATTTTTTTCTTCTCTGCAAATGCTATGTGTATGTTTGTAGAATCTGGGATGAGCAAAAATACAGAGAAGTTATAAAGTATGGATTTTAGTGACTTTTAAGCCTTGAGTCAGAAGTTTCAGACTTGTTTTGAAGTTAAAAAAAATTATCTCAAATGTCACCTCATCTATGTACCTCTCTTGGAAAGCACTTTATATTTGTCTTATGAGTAAGTTTTTGCATCTGTCTTTCTCGCTGAACTGAGATCCTCAAAGATAAAATCTGTCTTATTAAATACTTCCACCACTATCCAGCACATGTTCAATTATTAATCATTATTTACCAAATAAATCTGGGAACAGATGCATTAATGAGATAGTATTATGTTTTTGGGACAGCATTTTCAACGTTAAAATTAGAGAATGATACACTGACTGTGAAATTTATGAGTCATAAGTTGCCCAGGCTGCCTCTTTGTCCGTTAAGTTATTAATTTATCTATCTCTTTATCTATTTTTTTACTTGATAAGGGGTAACAAGTAACATATTTCATCTTACTTATAAGCTTCACCCCATTCTCTTTTTTAAAAGAAATTTAAAATATATCTAAAGATATAAAAGTAATATAATTATAACCCCCATATTTCCCCAGGTCAACATAAACACCGTTAACATTTTTTACATTAGTTTTTCATTTTTCCTTTGGAAGTGAAATAGCGCAGAACACTAAATCCTCTTAACCCCAGTCCTGAGTTCTTTTTTATTTTGAATATATAATTTTATTTATTTACTTGGTTGCGCTGGGTCTTCGTTGCTGCACGGGCTTCCCTCTAGCCATGGGGCGGTGGCTCCGCTTGTTGTGACTCCCAGGTTCTAGAGCATAGGCTCGGTAGTTGTGGCACACAGGCTCCGATGCTCCGCAGTATGTCAGACCTTCCTGGATTAGGAATCAAACCCATGTCACCTTCACGGCAGGTGGACTCTTTACCACTGAGCCACCAGGAAAGCCCCCAACCCTGAGTTCTATTACCCTCCCCACTTCCAAGAGCAACCATTAAGTTCTGGATATGTTCTCACAATGCCTTTTTTAAAAAAATTAATTTATTTATTTTTATTTAACAACTCCTTTTTAAGGAGTTGTTATATGTCTTATATGGGTATATGGATTCATAAATGATACAGAGGACTGTTTTGTATGTACTTTAACTTAACATAAATAGTACCATATTTTATTAGTCTGCTCAGGCTACCATACCAAAATATTACAGACTACATGGCTTAAACAACAGAAACTAATTTTCTCATAGTTCAAGAGACTAGAAGTCCCAGCTCAAGGTGCCAGCTAATAGGATTCTTGGTGGGACCTCTCCTGGCATGTACAAGGCCACCTTCTTGTGTTCTCACAAGTTGGGGAAAGAAAGAGAGCTCTAATCCTTTCTCTTCTTGAAAAGCCACAATTCCTTTGGATTATGACCCTACCCTTATGACCTCATTTAACCCTAAATACCTCTTATAAAGGACACCTTGATTTGGTGTTAGCTCTAGAAGGTCTTGTAGATCTTCATAGAACTGGTCAATGTCAGCTTCTTCAGCATCAGTGGTTGGGGAACAGACTTGGATTACTGTGATGTTGAATGGTTTGCCTTGGAAATGAACCAAGATCATTCCATTTTTTGAGGTTGCACCCAAGTACTGTATTTCGGACTGTCTTGTTGACTATGAGGGCTACTCCATTCCTTCTAAGGGATTCTTGCCCACAGTAGTAGGTATAATGGTCTTCTGAATTAAAGTCTCCCATTATCATCCATTTTAGTTCACTGATTCCTAAGATATCAATGTTCAGTTTTGCATCTCCTGCTTGATCACATCCAATTTGCCTTGATTGATGGACCTAACATTCCAGGTTCCTATGCAATATTGTTCTTCACAGCATTGGACTTTACTTTCACCACCAAACACATCCACAGCTGAGCATCTTTTCCACTTTGGCCCATCCTCTTCATTCTTTCTGGAGCTATTAGTAATTGTCCTCTGCTCTTCACGAGTAGCGTATTGAACACCTTCTGGCCTTGGGGATGCTTATCTTCTGGTGTCATATCTTTTTGCCTTTTCAAACTGTTTATGAAGTTCTCGCAGCAAGAATACTGGAGTGTATTGCTGTTTCCTCCTCCAGTGGACCACATTTTGTCAGAACTCTTCGTTATGACTGGTCTGTCTTGGGTGGTCCAGCACGGCCTCTCTGATAGCTTCAGAGTTATGCAAGCCCCTTCATCACGACAAGGCTGTGATCTATGAAGGGGGAGGAGAAGGAGCCAAAGATAGAGAAGCTCTATACAGCCAGAAAAAAACAAGATCTGGAGCTGACTGTGACTCAGGTCATCAGCTCCTTATTTATTGCAAGTTTCAGACTTAAATTGAAGAAAGTAGGGAAAAACCAATAGGCCGTTCAAAGTGAAAGTGAAAGTTGCTCAGTCGTGTCCGACCCTTTGTGACCCCATTGACTGAGACCTGCCATGCTCCTCTGTCCGTGAAATTCTCCAAGGCAGAATACTGGAGTGGGTAACCATTCTCTTCTCCAGGTGATCTTCCCAACCTAGGGATTAAACCTGGGGTTCTTCCCAACACAGGGATTGAACCCAGATCTCTTGCATCTGAGCCACCAGGGAAGCCCCAGTAGGCCATTCAGGTATGACCTAAATCAAATCCCTTATGATTATACAGTGGAGGTGACAAATAGATTCAAGAGATTAGATCTGGTATATAGAGTGCCTGAAGAACTATGGACAGAGTTTGTAACACTGTACAGGAGGCAGAGATCAAAACTATCCCAAAGAAAAAGAAATGCAAGAAGACAAAGTGGTTATCTGAGGAGGCTTTACAAATAGCTGAGGAAAGAAGAGAAGTGAAAGGCAAGAGAGAAAGGGAAAAATATACCCAATTGAATACAGAGTACCAGAGAATAGCAAGGAGAGACGAGAAAGCCTTCTTAAATGACCAATGCAGAGAAATAGAGAAAACAATAGGATGGGAAAGGCTAGAGATCTCTTCAAGAAAATTGGAGATATCAAAGGAATATTTCATGCAAATATGGGCACAATACAGGACAACAATGATAAGGACCTAAGAGGAGCAAAAGAGATTAAGAAGAGGTGGCAAGAATACACAGAAGTATATTAAAAAGGTCTTAATGACCCAGATAACCACGATGGTGTGATCACTCACCTAGAGTCAGATGTCCTAGAGTGTGAAGTCAAGTGGACCTTAGGAAACATTACTACGAACAAAGCTAGTAGAAGTGATGGGATT